CCCCCTCCCTTTCCCCGCGGTCTTCCGGGTCTTCCCCCTGCTCCCTGGCCCGGCGTTACCCAAATCATCGACACTTGGAAATAAAGTTATTCCCTCTCCCGGTGAGCGGGGATAACCGACTGCCTGACAGAACGAGTTGATGGCTCGTCGGCACGACTTGGCGACGACAAAACTGCGGCTGCGGATGGGTTGGGGTTAAATTACTTTACGATCGGGATCAGGGATCGTAAGGAGCCCATGGTATTTCTACCCTGGGATAAAACTATCACAGGATCCCTATGGACTTCAATGCCCGTCCTGCTCCTTTTGGGACCTCATAATATTTTGACCTCCACCCGGAAGCCACGGCGTGCGGTACGTATGTGCACGATCCTGAAAACCGTGACTACTTGAGGGTCGTGGGAAAAGTACCCCATCTTCTTTAGAAGAGGGGGGACGGTTGCGTGTCTCATTAGCGCCGTGAGCAGCAGGCGCCGGTGCGGGACACCTAACGCTGTTGGCTGTTATTGCCTCGTTGGGACGGCTCGCCACTTACTATCATTCGGTTGAACTGGTGAAAAGAGAGTCGCAATGAGGAATATTAGATTACACACTCACGGTGTGATCTCTTTGCGCTCACTGGCGATGAAAGAATGCGACCATTTAAATACAGTAAAACCTTGCACCATTATTGGGGCCCTCAGGAAATCGGAAATTATTTAGAAACCCTGATGTAAGGCACCTCCCTTTCCCTACTTTGATTTTATTGGTTGACGTGATTTCCCCAACGCACTTTTTCAGCAGTCAACCCCAAAAGCGATTCTCACGCTGAGGAGCGCGCGCTGCGCCGTGAGTCATATATCGAATGTGGGAACGCCACGCCGCGCCTCGGGCCGCCATGTCCTCCCATTGTTTTTCTGTCCGTTTGTCGCCCCAACAGAGAGATTGACCCAGGAGGCTGGCTGGGCGGTCCGATTGGGTGGGTCTTGTCCATGTGCAAGTGATGCATAACATTATGCAGACTGTCAAAAGTCGATGGTTGACTTGGTGTGTTCGGAACAAAAGATCAAATTCATATATAGCCTCACACCGTTAACCCAAGTGTGTACATAGCACACACAAGGAAGAGTGTACTATGTACACACTTAGGTTTACAGTGCAGTGTTGGTTCTGGGTGTTTTGGGCCATAACGTGTCAGGGGAGTTTCTGTTGCAATCGCACAGGTGCTCAAAAGAACTTTGTGGTTCGGCGTGGCCTTTTCGATTCCCTCCACTCCTATTGGCCCGCCTCTCTTGGCAGTTACCGATATCATCTCCCGGAGACGCACTCACACACGGGCGTATATTACTGGGGGCGGAGCTGCCCGAGACAGGTGAGAAGATTGAAATAAAGAGAGGTGGGGGTGGGGAGAGAAGTGGAGAGGAGTATGGGAGAGAAAGGGCGGAGAGAGGCAACAGCAGATAGTGGGTGAAAGAGCTGCTGGGATAGCATCTCGCCTGCTCCATAATCAACATCAATATTCAATTTTCAACAATCGATTTCAATTCTCCTCCTCGCTCTTCAGCCTATGGCCGCTTACGGCCGCCCAGCAAGTAGAGTACCAAACACGAAGCCGTCGAAACACGTGCCATAGCGAGATAGCTTTAAATTTGTATCATCTGCTTTCACGATACCTACCTCGACGAAGCTTTTTGAGGAAAAAGAGAAAACTTTGAGGACGTCCCGGAAAACTCTTCACATCTCGCCTCAGAAACCTCAAAATATAAGGAAACATCCCACATTTTCTTTAGAAGACTTCTTCAAAAAATGAGACATTGTTTTTATCGTGCACCGGGTGGGAGTGTAGGCAGGATTTAGTACAACACCCTGTGCGTAAATGCTTGCCGCGGCAAGCATAAGGTGACGCATCTGCTGACTCACGACGGTCAACACCTCCCAAATCATCCAGCCGACAGGGGATCAAGATCAGTACGACGCACACCACACACACATTCGCACAGCGACCCCCACCGGGACAAACCCAACGACTGCAAAAATACATACGGCAGCTGTTAATGCCTAAATGCTGCATTGCTGCGGGATACATACGCGCGAGGGGGGGGGGGGAGGAGGATGGAGACAAGAGGAATTCCATCTCAATTGAGTTGCACTGAACGAGTACCGCGAATTTCATACCAGTTTGGGTGGGTGGGGCATAACTGCACAGCCTGACCCCGCTCCGGTGCAGCGGCTCGCCGCAGCGATACGCGACAGGAATACCAGCCCCCCCCCCCCCCTCCTTCCCCCCATGCCCTGACCCGCGCAATGGTCTTGGCTTTGGCCGACAGGGCACGATGCGGCCTTTTGAATTAGGCGGCAGAGGAAGTTTATAAGAAAATGCTATTGAGTCAAGCTCGCTCCATGGGGTACGCATTTTTGTCACGTTTTCGTACGTGTAATTGCGCAAACTCTGTATTTTGTGGTATCTTTACAATTTGTTTCTTTTCCCATTTCTAGGCATTTTAAGTTTGTAAATTAAACTTTTCCCCAGAAAGACCACCACGCGTCGCCTATCTAAATGACCTCGATTTTCCGCGGGCGGCCAATAAGAGTCTGTCGCCCTCTCTCGCGAGTTTTAGTATCTCCATCGTTTTTACGGCCGGGGGCCCGGTAGGTGAAATGTCCCACACCCAGGCCCCCTGGACCCAACCCACAACTTGGAAGTTGCACCAAACAATTTAATTTCCTCAATGAAGGTTGCGACCAGGCAAGCGTGATAAGACCTGTTATCATGCAAGCGCAAAAGTTCCTTCGATGTTACGCAAAAACTTGTAATTTGTGCGCGAATCTGTCCGTTTTGGCACGCACGGCGGCGGCTCCTTGGCGGTCACCTTGCTCACCCTCGCCGCCCCAGGTGTGGCCGGGCGGGCCCCGGGCCCCGGGCCCCCCCGCGGGGTCCCAATCATGCTGGGGCTCAGGTGGGACCCACGGCGGCAGCCCGTAAACTTAATGGCACGCATTCTCTAGAATAGCAGACACGCTTTACGACCTCGCCAGGCGGGCCTCGGTCCGGGCGATATGATGCCCTGCCCCCGATTAGGAGTAGCGCACGACACGATAGCATCAATTTGGCGACAGGTTTGTATCGCATATGTGGGCCTATTCCCAGAAAATGTCTTACCTCCCCTCGCTCTCTCTCACACACTTTTTATTCCTGTTTTCCTCTTCCATCGATTCTCGCTCGCCGACTCCAAACGCGCGAGAATGCGGGCGTCATCGTGCTGGCCGTGGGGCTCGGACTTGAGTTTCCTTCGCTATCAGCGGGAATGGGCGACTCTCGCCCTGAGATGGCTCTGCCGGGGCCCGGGCCCGGGGCGCTGCCGCCGCAAAGCTATCTGCCGGGGCCCCGTTGCACCTCGGCTCGAGCCTCGGCTGCACCGGATGGACTGTCATGTCCGTCTCCACTTCCCACGGCGCCAGTGCTGGCTTTGGCACGGCGCGCTGCTTATGGGCGGCGGCGCTGGCTGCGCGGATGCGGACCGCGACGACGATGCACCATATTCCGTCTCCCTTTCGTGCCCACGACAGCATCGTCCTCTGTCCCGCTCCTCCCCCCCCCCCCCCCCCCCCCCCCCCCCCCCCCCCCCCCCCCCGCGCTCTCCGTCGTTCTCTCTCGTGCAGAAAATCAGCGGAACCTTGCGGGGACGCTGCTGCGGACGTGAAGCAATCAGCAAATCCGCTCACCAAGCCGCCACACCACGTCCACGATGCGCGCGGGCTCGCGCAAGCTCTCTCGCGCTCTCTCCCATACACCCGCCTTCCTTCCTCCTCGCTCTTTTCTCCCTTCACACTCACCCTTTTCTCATCACACAGCAGTGTCGGCAACACCGGGCAACACAAGCCAAAAACCAAAGGCAGCGACGCTTCGGGGACGTATGACACACTCCAGTTCCCTTTTTCATATAGAGAACAGAGTGCTGGCACAAATCCACGTTATTTCATTTGTCAATATTTTTTGTCGGTAGGGAGGGGTCGGAACCAAAACCCTGGAAAACACCTGTACAGTTGGCCAAAAAACATTCCTTTTAGTCTGTGCACATACTGTGAATTCTTAGGGTGTTTCCCGGAAAGTTGCTCTTCACTTCAGTTTAATTCGACATAATTAATTCGATGGTTCCACCAAACTTTCACACGCGCGATTTTGCGTTATCCACGGCATTTTTATTTTACGCCATTACGGAGGTCGTTATGGGAAATCCTAGAGAACTTTGGCACCCACGGATCACGCTCACGCTCGATTTAGTAGTTATGTAGGGTAGAGTGAAAGAAAACTTTATAAGTGCCAATTTTGGCCTCGCACACACCGAGGCACAGGCACGGTATATTCAACTGCTGTCATTTCATCTTATTTATTATTCCTCGGTGGGGATGGAGAGCATCCCCCTGCCGTCTGTCGCCATGGCAACGGGGTAGAGATGGGGAGGGGTGGCGGGTGGCGGATGGGGATGACACCACTCGAACCAGTCACCAGTCGGTTCATGGCGAATAACAGGGTCGCCATAACAAGGAAGGCTGCACGCACCATTATTGGTGGGCAGGGACAAAAATGATTTTAACACGGGACACTGTAAATGATCGCTTTAATTGCTAATTTACAACACAAACAACAAGAAACAAAAAGTTAAACTTCGAGAAATCAATAAAAAAAGTATACAACAAAACAAAAATAAACTGACCAAACATATAACTAGGAAAAGATGGCCCAAAAAGCGCCTACTTTGTCCCCCAAAATTCCGAGAATGCAGAGCACAGCGCATCTCTTCAAGGCAAATGACATTTTTTGTCATTTATAGGGACGTTCAATGCGTTCGCTGGAGATGATTTTTTAGCTCGGTGCTCCGTTGGAACTCTTTCTGACAGACGGTACACTTGAATGGTTTTTCACCAGTGTGAATCCTTAAATGTCTTGTTAGGTTATTGCTGCGAGAGAACGCTTTGTCACAGAGAATGCACTCGTATGGTTTTTCCCCAGTATGAGTTCGGAGATGATATCTGAGGCTAGGTTTGTAAGAAAAAGTCTTTTTGCACAAAGTGCACTCGTACGGCTTTTCTCCAGTATGAGTTCGAGAATGATTTCTAAGATGAGCATTAACTGCGAATGATTTGGCACAAAATGTGCACTTGTATGGCTTTTCACTCGTATGAATTCGGATGTGCACCTTTAAATTTGACGGATCGGAAAACTTCTTGAGACACACAGTGCAATGCAATGGTTTTTCACCGGTATGCACGCGGAAATGAATCTTCAGGTTATTACTCTTACTAAACTTCTTGTAACACACGTTGCAATTGAACGGTTTTTCTCCAGTGTGAGTTTTCAGATGTGCCTTGAGGTCGCTGCTCCGGGCAAAAGTCTTGTGACACACGGCACAATCGTATGATGACTCATCTGCGACGTGGATGCGCATATGGACTTTAAGGACACTTCGCGATGGGCACCCCTCGCCGCAAACTGAACACTTGACCGCCATGGTCCTTGGGAAGGGGTGAATCCTGAAACGAAAAGAGGAGCTAGCTCAACAGTGAGGGGCAAGTCGTCAACTAGTTTAATTTCGTGTAAAAGTTGAGCATTTTGTCCTGCCCCATTTTTTTTAAGACTGCGCGACAGAGACTCGCTATGACTCGCTCTGGACGTGCGCGACCCTCCCTCCGACAGCGTCCCCCTCCGCGCCACCCCGCCC